TGGTGCTCTGGATCGGCGTATACGACAGCGTGTTCCAGTTCCTGCCAATATCCAGCAACTTCGCACAGCCATTGAAGAGGAGTGGACCAACATTCCACAGGCCACAATCAACAACCTGATCAACTCTATGCGAAGGAGATGTGTTGCACTGCGTGAGGCAAATGGTGGTCACACCAGATACTGACTGGTTTTCGGACCCCCCAATACAGTAAAACTGCACATTTTAGAGTGGCCTTTTATTGTGGCCAGCCTAAGGCACACCTGTGCAATAATCATGCTGTCTCATCAGCATCTTGATATGCCACACCTGTGAGGTGGATGGATTATCTCGGCAAAGGAGAAGTGCTCACTAACACAGATTTAGACAGATTTGTGAACAATATTTGAGAGAAATAGGCCTTTTGTGTACATAGAAAAAGTCTTAGATCTTTGAGTTCAGCTCATGAAAAATGGGGGCAAAAACAAAAGTGTTGCGTTTATAATTTTGTTCAGTGTACATTAAGTCAGAATGTGAACTCGGGTTCCCTTGCTTGCCGTGCATTTTCACTGAAAAAGGGCAGCTTTGATTGTGTGATCCACAGAGAAAACAAATCAATAAAATGTTGAACATGATTGATAAAACATGAGGGTGAGTAAATAAGAATTTACACTGTTAAGGGAAATGATCTGCAAAAAGTGTCTCAATTGCACCTGTCACATTGTAAATGGGTTTTAGACAAACACTTTTGACAATATGCTGATAATATTCTTCCTAATTATGAGTGACATTGATATATATAATTTTTTATAAATAAACTTTTTTTTAAATCAGAAGTTTTATAAATAAATGTAATTCTAAAAATACAAATATATGCACGGGGCAGGAAAAAGCATGTAAACCATGAGAATGTGTTGTTCTTCTGCATTAGTTGGTCATAAAATGTAATTTGAAATTCATCTAAATCATGAGTATAGACAAACACAGTGTGCTGAAGCTACATGGAAAATTACGTTTTCATGTCCTTGTTTAACACTTCCCAATAAACATCACAGTACTGTGGATCTGTGGGACAGATCTGACGCTGCTGTTTCCACTTGGTATTCTGGACTAGAACTGTAGTAATAAGCTGATTACCACAGCTTGAAATATTTTAAATGCATTTCTATCATGATTTTATCATGGTAATGGATATGACAATGTTAATGTATTAGGTCTTGGAGAAATAGATCTGCTATACGCTGCTGCTGTTGGTTATTGCTGTTGTTGTAGATTATTGTTGCTGCTGCAAAGCAAGTACAGGAACTTGCTACTTCCAATTCATATGCTGATACAGTACTGTGAGTATGTAAGACGCATACTGCTGCTGCACAAATAGCACGTTTAATAACTTGTAGCAGATCTATACAGGTGGAAGTGGAGGGTTTCAGAGGAACTCTAAAAGCGCGCTGCTCTAGTGAATGCTGACAATCCATTTATATTTAAAGCAGTAAGCTCATTGGCTGCATATGCAACATGAACCAATCAGCTTCTGCCAAGTAGTTAATGCTATGAATATAATCA